AAATGCGACTCAAGAAAGACTTGACAGTCGATGGAGAAAGCAGTATCTAGCTTTATTTACCCATTTTGTTTAATAATTACGAGAACTTTTTTATTTTAAACTACAGTCAAATTGAGATAAATATTCGGACATTAAGACCAATAAAATTTATTTTGTCTCATGACCTTTCATTGCAGTTTGACTATTTCAGACCAAATAACCAGACACGTCTAATTTCTGCAAAAGAATGCACAATCATAAAAATTTCTGCAAAAGAATGCACAATCATGTAAATTTCTGCAAAATAATGCACACTCATATAAAACATCATGCATACTGAATATTGTCCCTTTTTCTACCATTTTCAGGAGGATAGGTGCTCGTTATAGTTAAACAACAGTTGAATATCGTGTGATTGACGGAACAGAAAAGACAGTGGATGGTTGGTTGCCAGGGCATTAAGCAGAACTAAATTTATGCGTTGATTATTTGAGAGATTTTCATTGGCAATGGAATGTGGCCGATTGCTTTTATGCGATGTGCAACTTTATTTGCGAAAAAGAGGTGTGCAAATAATTTTGTTTCCTTCAAATATCATGGACACGTATCAACGTGAATGTCCAAAGTACAACTACTGATCGGTATATGAATATACTAATAAATTCACCAGATATTTTGTGATGGACGAAATATAATGGTGGAATAAATCAGTTTGGTAAAGTAGTTTTATTGGTTTAATGTTTTTATGTACTTTTACTTTAATCTATTCGAAGCATTTTGGCTCAAAAGGATGGTATAAAAATGTTTGAAATTCTGAAACAATCTGACTACGGCGAGTACTGTTATATTTTGAACTAATGACTACCCACTCTTTCTCTCTCATGAAATTATGATAATGTCTGGAAATAATAATACAAACAACTTCATATTCATAAATGTGGGAGAGATTTGCGGCGAGCCGGTATTACGTTAGGATTTTACTGAGAAACAACCTAAAACTCTGAATCCATCCAAAAATTTAATCGAAGATTGGCTTCCAGCTTTCTACACAATTGATCTGTCAGGGCTGGAACCCAAAATTATTTAACCAATCAAATTTAATCTTACATAGCATAAAAAAACCTTCAATTTTCACGCCATTTTTTTAAAGCAGCAAATATTGCTTTGAGCGCAAAGATATAATGATGATTAAAATTTTTGTTTTCATGAATTCTTTTCAATAAATCATATTTACACTGACTTTTGATTTAGCGATTTCATCTGTTTTCTTTGTAGTAAGTATTCGTTGGGTTCATTAACATAAGTGTACATCTGGTTCTGTGCATTTTTATGCCACCGCAGCATCTGCGATGCGGTGGCATATAGCGATTCACCTGTGTGTGTGTTTGTTTGTTTGTGTGTTATATAGATTATATAGTGAACTTAAAAAATCTTCTTGTGAAAAACCACTAGTCCAATTCCAACCAAACTTGGCAGGATTGATCCTTGGGTGAAGGGCTTCCAAAGTTGTTCAAAGAATTTCATTCCATGCAGAAATCTGGTTGCCATGGCAACCAAAAGGAATTATAAGAATAAATTTAAAAACTCTTCTTGTAAAGACCCAAAAGGCCTAGAGCTTAGATATTTTGCATAAGGCATTGTCTGGTAGACCTCTACCAAGATTGTTCAAATTATAGCCCTGGGGTCAAAATCAGCCCGCCCCGGGGGTCATTGATTTTCACTATATGTACATACAGTAAAACTTAAAATACATTCTTGTAAAGACCCAAAAGGCCTAGAGCTAAGATATTTTGCAAAAGGCATTGTGAGGTAGACCTCTACCAAGATTGTTCAAATTATAGCCCTGGGGTCGAAATCGGCCCCGCCCCGGGGTCATTGATTTTCACTATATGTACATATAGTAAAAACTTTAAATACCTTCTTGTAAAGACCCAAAAGGTCTAGAGCTTAGATATTTTGCATAAGGCATTGTGAGGTAGACCTCTACCCAGATTGTTCAAATTATAGCCCTGGGGTCAAAATCGGCCCTGCCCCGGGGGTCATTGGTTTTCCTTATATGTATATAGTAAAAACTTATAGTAAAAACTTTAAAAAAATTTCTTCTAGCAATTGGCAAATGCTAGAGGTTAGATATTTTGCATGAAACATTGTGTAGTGAACCTCTAGCAAGATAGCTCAAATTATAGCCCTTGGGTCAAAATTGCCCCGCCCCGAAGGTCATTGATTTTCAATATATACATATATATAGTAAAAAATAAAAAAAAATCTTATTGTCTGATGGTACAAGGTACAAGGCTTCAAAAACATAAAATACCTTCTTGTAAAGACCCAAAAGGCCTAGAGCTTAGGTATTAATGCGGTGGCATAACATTTTTCTCAAACGCAATCTTGTTTCTTTTTTCCGGTCATTTTAATATCCTTTCCGGTATTTAGTGTATGTATTTACTGGCCGGGATCTGGGACGCCCGGGATCCGTGATCGTATTAGATATAGAGGAAAACCTAATAAACTATATTTGTGTTGATTATTGTCGTAATGAAAGGCCATTAAACGTTAAGTTTTTATTTTTTTATTGTATGTAGTGAACGTTAAATTAATTTAACTTAGGATATAGATATTTTAAGAGCTATTTATTAACAAACTTAAAATGCGGAAATCACAATAATTATATGCCTAATTAATTGGAAAAATCAAAGACCATATTTTTGAAATCTTGAAGATATTCATATACATAATAATATTCTTGAATTGGTTAAATCCCGGGATCCTTATATGTTTTAATACGATCCCAGCTTTTCTGAAAACTATATTCTTAAACTGGCCAATTCCTGGGATCTCTATATATTTTAATACGATCCCAGCTTTTCTGAAAACTATATTCTTGTTCTGGTCAATTCCCGGGATCCCTATATGTTTTAACAGGATCCCGGCTTATCTGAAAAACACCTTCTTAGACTGGTCAATTTCCGGAATCCCTTTATTTTTTAATACCATCCCGGCTTTTCTGGCTGAATTTATTGACAACTTGTGTTTACTTAAATAGGACTTGTGTCTGTCACTCATTCCAATACTAAATAACATATTACAACTTAACTTCGTATAAAGAGACATCTTTATGAATTCTACCTATCTAACCTCTTTTTGGTCAAGGTCAACAGGCCATATAGTAATTGTGCATAGACATGGAACTTCATTCTATCTGTTTACATGCATCTTCATATATACTCAAATTTCTCTTTCTTAAACCGAGAGAACTGGCTTCCATCACTTTATATGTCACTTTTATTTTGATGTTCGCTGAAGTCTCTTCAGCTAACAGAACTGCGTTTTAACATTTAAACACACCCCTGGAAACAAATTACGAAGCGAGTCGCTACTAGCTTTTTTAAAAGCTAACCTTGTAATACTTTATTACAGTTATCAAGAGGTTCAAATAAAAATCTTTTTTTTAATAAATTTTTCATTGACGTAAACTGGTGTGTTGCCGGACCACTTTCTTCTAAATTCAACCTGTACACAAAATTGAAATGTAGATATTTTATATCATTAGTTTATAAAAGTGAAACAAGTATATAATAACAGAAAATTCAAGTTTTTTTCAATTAAAACGGGATTTATTTTCACCTTTTAGAATGAATACTCACTTGAAAAAATGTATTATATACCACTCGATGGTAACAAATCTTGTTTTATTAATAGACAAAGCCTTGAATAATCTTTACTTGTATATTAAGAATAATCAGGGGATTTTTAAATGGACGGAGTTATGAAATAATCAGATGATTTTTACTAAATAAACGTATTTGTTTTAAATAACAACACAAGAAAATTCTCTAGGTTCGTGTGCTAGAAGTGATTTATTTTTACAAAAATGAAATTTGATACAGAATAACTATTCCCAGCATAAATTTACATGTTTGTTCTTCCACGAAGCTGACGTAACTTTTAAATTAAAGAACAATAAAGTTGTTGTCTTATATACTCAAATTTCTCTTTGTTAAACTTTAAATTTGTCCAACAAGAAAAGTTGGATATATGAGATCAAACCCAAGAATGATACAATAATCATTACTTTTTAAACTTAATTTAAAGGGATCCATATGTTGAATATTTTATGAGAATTAATTCATTTTGTTGTGCTACGCATTTGTTATATGCAAGTTAAAATAGATCAAGAGATGAAACTACGTGATACGCATGTATAATTTTTTAGAAGTATAAAACAGTATAAATGATAAGAATATTTTACGTAACCTAGCTTGGTATATAAGGGAGGCACTGACTATGAGCACACAAGTTACATATCATTTATGCACGGTTAATCCCCTGTGTTAAATAACGTAGAATACATGTATATTATGACTGAATAATTTGTATACTCTAAGAAACAACAAAGACATCTTGAATTTTTCCAAACAATGAATATTTCCCCTTCTTCAGAGCAAACGTATGAAATTGTCCTGACGGATTAAAAAAATTGGGGTATGCCGATTATGCTTACAACTTTCATTGAAATATCAGGAAACGTCAATATTTTCGTAATAACAAAACTGGTGTCATTGGACTTAAAATTCCTTGTCAGGTAACGAATGTCTTGTTCATTAGATGGTCATGATCATTCAAAGGTGTTATATACCTTTATATTTCACAACACAAAGTATGGATATTTCTTTTTAACAGAAATCAAATAAATAGGTTGAGTATTTCCAATATGTAGCAGTAGCCTTATAAATCTCAAATCTTCGTAATTTAGCTGAAATAAGATGATGATTATCATTAAAGATATATTTTGTTTCATTGAAAGTTTAATCATCCATGTTTGTCTTTCTTAAAATATTACAAAAATGTCCATTTTACCAGAAGACAGAATCAGAAACAAGTATATGACTTAGCAGGAAATTACATTCACAACATAGCGAAAAAACAGTCACGTGGCAAACAACAGTTAGGTCACCTAGTTACAATAGAAAACCAGAATAAATTGCTTCTACGTGAATTAAACATTCATCTATTCAATTGTCAATTGTTTGTAAATCATACATGTTATGATATTCTTTTGGCAAAATTTAATTTCAAATCAATACGAAAAATTAAACAATTTACATAGATGGTTCTTTTACTATCTTATTCAGGCATTTAATGACAGTTACCAAGATATCCAACATAATATATGAACGCAATATCCCTTTGATATGAATAATTCAAATTTTCTTTTTTCTAAATAGTAAGGTACGAAAGTTTGTAATTACTTTTATATACACAATACTTGTCCTTTACCTTTATCATTTCTGATAATTTTGCACATTTATGTGGCCTAGAACTGGTTCCATTCTCCACCTAAATCAGAAGTGATACTTTTCTTTGTTGACGACACAGACACTTTTTTCATAGCAAATTGATTTACAGTTGATGTCGAGTTCTTTTTCATCCTCCGATCAAACCGTGGGTCGCGGCTGGTACTCTGAGCCTTGCCTCCCAATTCTGTAGAACTAGTTTCAGGTAAGAACTCTACTTCACCGGGAAGATTGTGGTCGACAGTAGATTCTTGTCTTCTACGAGTAGAATCAATAAGCCAGTATGTATTCATCTCTCCTTTGCCCTGTAAGTACATAAAATATATATTTAATAACAGTTATTTCCCTAAAACAGTTCTGTCCCTTTACAACAAACTTTTTTGTTTATCTATTGATATAAAATATTATTACTTTGAGGAAGATTTGTTTTACATTCGTACAGATGCTAGATGTTTTTCTCTTTTAAAAGCATTTCGAAACAATTCTTTTTATATTTCTCTGCCACCTATACTATGAAATAGTTTGTATTGGCTCTTCGTGTATTGTATTGTTCACTTTGTTGTATCTAATATAGCTGATGATGTCAATTATTTTGATGTAGCATATTTCTGCCACCAGTTTAACATTCTTCAGAATGCTCAGAAAGGAATAGATTTTTTTTATCCCCTTGAAAGGGCAACCATGAGTTTTATAATGTTTTAAGAAAGGTTTTTTTTTCAGAGCAAGTTACTTCAAGCTCAAAACCCGAGTGTGAAATTGTTTGTAATAAAAGTAGCAAAGTAGTATTTTGACTTCCATACAAAATCTAAATCACTATAACAGTACTTTTTGGCAAAATAGACATCAGAATAACAAGATCACGCGTGGCAAACGACTTTTTTCTGGAAACCGTTATCAAATATACATGGTATAGCATTCTTCGAATTTTGATTTCTCGTGTAGGGTTCACAAAATATATAGAAATGAGCACCATGCATTTACCTTTGTTGACACCTGATTTTAGCGACATGATTTAGCTCGGAAGCAGCGATTGAGCGATTTATCGTATACCCCGAAAGAGGTAGCTCTATCGTTTACCAGGCGTGAAGATGGTTCAGATAATTTGGCAATGAGTATTATTTTAGAAACTATAAGAGGATACAAACAATAAAAAGCTTTGATAAATGAAAGTAAAAACATTGCTGTAGCATAATGGGCCTTTATCTAGTGTAACATATTTCAGTTACTGACAAAGAAATACGAAAACGGTTTGCCACATGCACACTCTATCATTTAAATAAAATGACAAACTATGAACTATAAAACAATAAAACTGATTTCGAACTCACTTTGACGACAATTTTACCCCTAGGTAACAAAGTAAACGATCCTGTCTTGCTGAGATTCCTGAAAGTTGATTCGCTGATGTGGATTTTGTCCGCTGAAAATAATTTATAATTTCCGTAAAATAGGGTATCAAACACCAAGAACGTTACATGATTGTACGTTATAGTAAGTAGAGGCCAGTACGAAAAATTTTACGAGCATTTATCTGTTTAACAAGTAATTTAAGATATTTTGCTTCCTATCTCTTCAATGTACATGATGTAAAGAATCAACTGAATAAGTGAAGATTTTACGAAAACTTTCCGTGAACAAGTATTGCTGTGGAAAGAAACATAATCCTTACGATGTCCGTGAGACTTCATTCTTGACGCAGTATTCACGGTGTCTCCGAACAAACAGTATCTTAGCATCACATTTCCAACTACACCAGCTGACACTGAACCTAAAATATAGATTATGTTTTGTTATCTGTTTCTAGCATAGCATTATAAAAATATGGATTGAGAACCTGCCAAAGTAAAAGATTGTACAGTGGTGTATCAAGGCAAATTGAGTTGATAATACTCTAAATATCAATCCCACCTTCTGCAATTCAACGCTAATGGATCCATTGTGTCTGTTTGACTCGAAAGAATAATTAGTCACGCTAAGTATATAAATCAAGCCTAATGCGTTTATGCTAAGTAAAAATAGTTTAGACGATAATAACCGTTCAAATAAGAACTTTGGATCGTTATGAAGATTCTTGTTTCCAAGGTAAAGAGTACAAACATGAAAGTAATGACATTATATGCCTAGGAAATATGAGTGTAACTTCTTTAAGAATTACATGATCTACCTGTACTTATACCAATCATTAAATGCAGTGGATGCTTGGTGTTCATGGATATAAGTGTCTTATACTTCACTGATGACGCTATATCCAAGGCCAGGTAGGCAATTTCTGAAGCGTGTCTGTTACCGTTTGAAGTAGGCACTCCTAAATAAAAAGAAGAATGTTGACAATATATCGAAAATAATAAGGATGGTCACGTAGATACAATAGAAATAAGTACAAGTTTGACATGTTTGCCATTTGCAATTGACCATTTTTGTCAAATATATATAAATATGGCACAATCATTTGTTTAATATATTAACGGAATATTTCGGATCTAGTCGAATTTAAATGTTTTATTTTGAAATGCGATCTATCAAGTCTGTTACGAGAATCTCGTTATACAAGAAAAGCAGCATACCTGATACAACCATGTACGTGTCATTTATTGTCTCCACCTTGTACACGTCATACATATCAATTTTGTCATCAATAGAGGAATAAAGAATATTCAGGAGGTCTATCAGCTCCATTGGAGAATATTCAATACTCAGCTGAACAAAATCTACCACGCTGGTGAACATAACCGTCGCAGATTTGAAGAATTCAGATTCTACGGCACTCTTCCGTTTTAACCTCTCTGCAATCGGTCGAGGTAACATCTGATAAAGGAGAGAATCTGTTTTAGAACGTTCATTGTTGAGTTCATCAGACGCCTTTACGAGGACCTTCGAGTACTCCTGCATGTTACTCGTCAATTGCTCTGCAAAGGCCATGATAAATGGGCACGCTATAATCACCAACGAAGCTGTGACGCTATATATGATGATGTTTTCTGTGTATGCGTCGACTGTCGAATTTATACGCCGAATAACGCGCATAGCAACCGCTTCTTGTAATATGTATAAATAATCCACTCTAAACGTTGAATTGTCGAAATAGAATTCAGCCTTTTCCTTACTGACATAATTTCCTGAGAAGTTGCTGTTTTTAATTTCTGCTCGAAGGCTACGTATTGCAATTGTATAACTTCTTTGGTCTGTTTTTGCTTCAAATAATGGGTCAACAAGGTCGGACAGAAATGTTGCACTTTTGTAGTTGTAGTTGAAACGAAATATCCGCCGGAAGTAGTTATCGTATAAATCAAGATCGGGGAAATTTCCTTGAGCAAAGAACATGGCCCCATAAGCTCGTTCTGCCCCTGTGTCCAACATACACCGTGTAATTTTCTGAAAAACAACAAGTGATTTCCATATGTTCCCAAAGCCGCTTTCTCGAATTCGCTCAATCATCCAATCCATAAAGAATTCAACAATTTCGCTGTAAAATGTGATCTGTCCATATACATCTGGTGTATTTGGATCAAGTTTATTCCTTTGGCTATTTATATGGTTTATAAGCATTGTTTTGGATCTGAAATATTTATTTGCATGGTCTGTGAATTCTAAAGGCCAGCTCCACATGTCAGCAAATGTTTTGTCAGTCTTGTCGTATTCGTCGATCAAGAACGCCTTGGTGCTTGGTCCTATTTTACTAATGTATAAGATGCTCATATCCCGTTCTTTCTGGATCGTGTATATTAGTCTTCCCAAACTAATCGCCCTCAACATCAATGTTTGAGCCTAGAATTGAGAAAAATATGACTGCGGACAATTTCATAATGTGTAAAGACAATATGTGCCTCAGAAATTGTTTCTATTTTATTTTTTCAAATAATTTTCTTTTGTGTGAATTTTCTGTTATAGTTCTAAAATAGTAATTGGCCATTAACTGAGCAAATTTTCTTTCAGTTGCATTTTTGCAGTAGGTGCAATTAAAGTGATTTTGTACTTTGTGTAAAAATTGAAATACAACATTGTTGATATTTTGCTACTCATATCAGGAATAATGTCACTTTAAGCACTTCTTTCAGGTGATAAAATTTTATCCAAATCAAATTATTATTGCGTGTGAAGTAACAAAATTATTTTAAAATGTCAAAAAAGTTTGTGTGATATAAAACGTTCAATAAACATAGTAGAGCACATAACTGAATTTATCGGACAAACACCAATATCTGACTCGGTTAGCGCGCCAAATAAAGGGTTGACTTCTACGTACCCATCCAATAGAATTCAGTATTGTACTCAACAATTCGGGACTAAATCAGTAAAATATTCGATTTAAATTTAAATTGCTTGAATCAACTATGTATCGATGTTTAAATTGGTTATTTAATTTGCTGTTTCGCTGCGCCTATTGTGAGTACAATGTAATTAAATGTAATGTGTCAGGTAAAGGAACACTACAGAGACTACTAGGATTGAATATTTTTATTAGAAATAATGATATATTATCAAATATATTATATGAAACGTAATATTATTAATTTTTCTTAAATCATAGTTGCAATTGAAGGAGCAAAATTCTGTTAAAATGTCAAGAAACGTTATTGTGAGATAGAGCGTTCATTAAACAAAGTTGAGAACAAAACTGCATCTATCGGACTCGTACACAGCTGAAAACCAATATCTGACTTGGTTAGCGCGCCCAATAAAGATTTGACAGCTACGTACCCATCGAATAGAATTCAGTATTGTACTAAAAAATTCGGGACTAAATCAGTAAAATATTCGCTTTAAATTTAAAGTGCTTCAATATACTATTTATCGATGTTTCAATTGGATATTTAATACGCTGTTTCGCTGCGTCTATTGTGAGTAATTAAATGTAGTGTGTCAGGTGAATGAACACTTGAATATTAGTAGGATTGAATTTTTTATTAAAAAAAGATATTTTATCAAACATATTATATCTAACGTTATATTTCTAATATATCTTAAATCAAACAAAATCAATTTTACCAAAGATTCAACTAATGTTGTTGTTCGTCAACACCTTGACAATATCGGTGCCCAAACTAATGATATCAATAATGATACAGTAACCGTTGCGGATTTCGTACGGATGAAAAACCAGTGCCACCCAAAGAAAATTCCTCTCAATCTTATTACTATTGTAAATATGGTTTAAACTAATTTACCTCAACAGTTGTACCCTTTTCCACAATGTTATCTGCAAGTGAGTACAATGTGAAGGTCCAACCTCCCAATATAGGGATAAACATGACTGTCAGGAGTTTCCCTAAATGGATCCATTTTCCTCGAGTGCTCAAATAATCGGCCCGGAACAATCTTCCTGGAATAAACAATCACATAGCTATAAAATAGAAATATAAGCATAAATCACACGAATAACCCGTTATGCTGACGATTAATTTCTATAAAACTCTGACTCAAATAGATCTGGATATAAACGGTCGTTTTATGTTGTATTACACACATTTTTTCTCACTTGCTTAATTAATTAATTAATTATTTTTAATTTTCAATTGCCAGTTTTTTAACATATTCGCGACTAATGCTTAAGAATTTCGAATGATTCTGTATCATTGTATAATAAAAGTTCAACTAAAGCACAATTGTTTTGCACTTTTTAAGCTAAGCCTGTGTAATGCAACGACATCACTTCTAAATAATTATATGTATGGACGTGCATACCATTTTTAGTCGCAACATCAGTGCGTGTATGTGATCATCACAATCAAGGCTTATAATTGAATCATGCCTGATTCTCACTTTTTGCAATAACTGCACTTAAACACAGGCAATTACATTGTTTATTTAAGTATAATTTTGATAACATTAATATTAGATGTAAGATGTTAATAACATAGTAAATGTTGAAACAGTTTTCTTTTAATAAATGTTGGACAACTCAGTTATGACAATAGGCACTGAAAAGAACAATGAGTACAATGTTTATTCGTAAAAAATATCAATATGAAGTTATAATCGAATAAAACGCTCTTTAAAAAGGAGAGTAATAAAACAAATTTAATGATAATTACCACATCCGATGGCTGCTGCATTGTCCTTTCCAATCAAGCTCAGATGTGACAATGAGCTATTCCGTTTAGATGTTCTTCTTAAAAGATTAACAAATCTCTCTCTTAAATTTCACGCTCTCAAGTGAGTTCACATAATTTTTTGTAAAAAAGAAAGTAATTTTAGAGAAAACATGTCATTCCTTCATGCAATGCTTTGATATTGAGAATGACAATTTTGATTTGTTTACAGATTTCGAAATTTTTAACCATTTCTGTTGTTTCTTATAATTACGAGGCATAAAACATTCCATGGGGCTTTTTGAATTGTTTGAATTAAATGTTTAAATGACTTGTAAATTAATTAAATAATTTATGGAAATTATATACAACTTTGTCAAACTTTTAAGTTCTTAAACTTTGTAAGATGAAAGAGAATTAAAGTAATTAAAAAAAATAGATAAGTAATTTTAGTGGAAATAAAGGTAAAGTCTTTTTATTTAAACTATTTTTAGTTATTGATTTGACCTAGCTTTAAACAAGAGTATTTTAAGCATGCACGGCCTTTTTTACAGCAGGTGTTATTTTGAATTAAATTAAAAATATAAAAAAAACTTACATTCCTTTCGAGCTCATTTTTATTTAAAAAATCACCAAAATATGTATTATATACGAAATAATACTCAAACAATTTCAGTGAATGTTTGAAACCATAAAGTATTCAGCCACAAAATGGCCGCCTATGAAGTAGTATTTACGAACAAAATTTACACGTTCTCGGCGTACACCTGCTGGTATCATATTAGTTGAAAATTGTCTACAATTTTATGCTAAATGGACCATTATTGACCATTTAGTCGAAGAATAATACCACGTAAACTCACAGGAAAATATTAAAGGTAGTGTTCAAAATATACCACACTTTAAATGCAGTGATCGGAATATTGCTTATTAATTGAAATAAATGACTTAATCATTAATATTTGATTTAGGTTTTGTGCAATCGGTTGTTTTTTGTTTGTTTTTTTCTTGTTCCTGGAACTATTTTTGCGACCGATCCGTCTAACTGGCTTGTTGAAATAACTCACCTGTTAATAATGCAAGTGATCGGCTCCTGGTCGCGCACGAGTTCTTGGAAATTAACCTTTTAGTAAATCATTTTTATCATAAACAATACTGTCAAAGCTTTTCCTTTAAAGATCCTTTAACACATTTTTTTCATGGTTTTATTTCAAAGATATGATGCTCAAATTAAGATTTGTTAATATTTCACAAAACATACAGGATCTTTAAACGTGACGAGGGCTGATAATCCAGACCTGTTTCTTTTCTGTCTTTTTTTTCATTTTTATTTTTTATCGTCTTTCTTTTTTCTTTTTTGCAAAGGTATGCATCATTATAAACTTAGATCTTTAACCCTTTTTATATATGTTCTTGAAATTATCAAATTATCCAAATTAAAAACTTGATATACACTGTCAAATCACTAAACATGACAACATATTTGAAGGCAGATAATTCTAGATGGCATTTTGTCTTATTTTGATTTTTTACTTCTAATTACTCAAAATCTTTTAAGGTTTACTTCAAACTTATAAATTTGAACTTTAAATATGTGATAAATATTTCAATTACAACGTATTTTTTAAATGCAAGTAACATTTTGATACATATTTAAGTTATGCCTTCTCTATGCCTTGATTTCTTTTATTCGGTAAGGTTCAATATTCATATATTCCTTTTCGCTAAAAAATGTTTCCGTCCTTCAGACTTGCAGGTATGTTTTGTTAACTGCTATGCCTCAAACGTCATCCTCATTCTTTGTTTATTTGTAACCATGGAAATAAGAATTGTCGTCAATATTACAGCCTTAAATAGCAATTAAGTACCAACACATTTTGCAGGTAGTTACCGTGAATCAAATTGTGTTTTACCCATTTAGGTTTTACTTGTGAAATAACCGTTATGGTGTAAACTGTTGTTTCATCGTTGTTAAAATTTATAAGAATATCTATTTTATCAATGCGACCAGGGTGGAAGACTGAGTATTAGGAGACGCTATGCATTTTGGATACATGTGTACAATACAAGAGATTTTGACTATTTTTTCTATGAAAAAAATTACAGGCTTTAATATAATAACATTAACTATTGTTCACTATTGTTTTTGTAATTGCATTTGTTAACATTAAGTTTAATGTGCTGTTATCCTTTATTTATAGCATTATATTGTCTGATTGTTAAATTTTGGCGCAAATTATTTTAAACAGAAAATACTTTCCTTAAAAGTGTATCTTATAACGACTGTTTAAATGATAACAATGGCTTTCGAATGTTAAAGATAATTATATTGTGGTCGATTGTTTTGTTTAAAGTATAGCATAATCTAGGATTTTCACGCAGTAAATTGTTTTTTGTTTGACTTCAGCAGTGTTTATTAATTGATTGTTTTGCACAAATCTGGCATGCAGACAGTGACAATTTAATTATGTTTTGATAAACAGAAATTGCATCATTAGTACATATGTATTTATAGATAAAAAAATTGCTTATACGATATACAATATATAGGTACATTTAACTGCTAATTTAGCACCTTCGGCAGGGCACTGAGCTCAGAATATATTCTTTATATAGCACAATACTACTGCGATATAAAGTCAAACAAAAATATGCTATTAAACACATGTCTATAACTTTAAAATTGCTTGTAGTCTACGTGGTTTACCTGGGCTAATCTTTTAATGGACTGTTTTGTATTTTTGAACTAACAAGTTCTATTTTACATTTCCTAGCATGTTATGTTCGGGAAAACATGGATTACTCATCCTTAACTTCACCGTGTAATATAACATAGGTAATTAATCATCTCAATACTTTACAAACTTACAGAAGGAACGAAGACACCTTGCTTTTTTGATAATTTATATTGGATTTGTGCTTGCAAAATTTACCATGGTTACCAAACATTTTGTATGATGGTGTATTTCGTACATTAGGGAAGAAAGTTACTGTTCTGTAACGGATGATTTACGAGCGATCTGTTGTGCATTTAAAACAAATAAATAAGTAAAGACTGCAGCGTTACCTTTGAGAAAAAGGTGGGAAATATCACAGGCACATTATTCCTCACAATCAGTTAACATGAGTTTAATAACGTTAAATCACTGGTTATAGTGCATGTTAGATCCTAAGCACTTTTGAAAGGAGCGTGGAAAGTGAAATTATCTTTCTTAAAAGTAACAAAATATAAATTAAGCAAAGTAAGTTTTATTGACCTCTATACAAAATACTTAATCACTATATCTGTGCTAATTATCAACAGGAAATAGGAAAACATAGTTGAGGTAATTCACCAATGAATAACGTTTATGAAACAAAAACAAAAACAATATAGACACACAAATAAAAACAGGGATTTTTGAGAAATAAAAACAATAAGTATTACTGGTTAGCTTGCATATGCTAGTTCTAATTTTCCACTCAAAGTCACATAGAAATGTTAGCATCGCCTGTATATCAATGACATAATAATGTCTTGTAGGGTTATCAATCTTTGAAAATAGAACACGTTACGATTTGTTTCTAAACGAACATGTCGTGTTTCTATAAAGGTAAAGGTCTTGTTTATTATAATGTCACCTCTACTGAAAGGGCCAGCCATTTTGACTTATGAGACACCTTTTGCTTGCATACCATATACCTCCCAATTCCTATCACTATGCCAGGCGTCAGGCGGATAGAAATCGGTAACCATTCATTTAAACTACCTCGCGGCTCACGAAGCGGCCATTTCGGAACGAGTCCCACGAGAAACATTCATCCTTCGATTATGTGAACTCAATGTTTAATACCAACACATACGCAGTCGGTAGGCAATAGTCTTTACAATATTGGATTAATATGCAAAATTATAGGACATTTATAAATAATATACTCATTGAACACATCAATAATCATATGATATATTAGTTACTTACTAATCATAAATAAACTTATGCAATTTAACTAGAAAGTTAAAGAACTATCCTGTTTATTTATTTTAGAACTATCCAATACATTTCATTATATCGGCAAGAACAATTTTTTACATTTTATCTAACGATGGCCAATGATATTCCCAGATTTCATTTTATAATTTAAAATGACCAAAAAAACATTTCTTATATTCAATTCTTCCCTGTAAATGTTACATGAAGTCAAACTGATTTTAGGGACTTCAGTCGGAATGACAGCTTTTCTGGGAAAAATCGACCTTTAATTACCATGACATTATATAACAATGCAATACGCAATTAATTTTGCAATTTAATGAAACAGCTTACGTAAACAATTTATTTCTCAGAAAAAAATCATAAAGGGAAGAAAAAATACCAGATAAAGAAATGTATGACAATGTCAAAGTCAATCATTTTGCTACAAAATTGTAGCAAAATTAAAATAAATAAAACAAGGAGCAAAGGGTTTCACATTTGGAAGTCAGTTTAGTCATCAATTCATTTTACATGAATGCATGGACATTGTGATATCGATCTTAATATGCATTGCATTGTTAAATGGTTTTGATTTTGTAACAGTTACACCCATTGTAAATCAGAAAGCTTGGGGAAAATATCAAGGTATAAATTTTCAAGGATAATTTGGAGGAAAATGTCTGACAAACTGTACTCAAATATACTAATTCTTTGAAACATCCGAATATATTAGTCTAGCATTAAATAGCCCTGAAGAATTTAAAATATTACATGTATTAGTTGAATGCCGATAATGCTTCACACTTACTTTATAATATTAGAAAACGGTTTATATTTTATATATTTAACTAATAAAGATACAAAGTGAATAAGAAACTACTAATTTACCAATAACTCAGGACAGATTATAATTTGTGTAAAAGCAGTGAAAACTTGTGATTATTATAAGAACCTGATCTATATAGTCAGTAGACAATGCTTCATGCATAATGTATTTCTACTTTATCCATAGTTGGTCCTAAGTCAAATCTAGGCCAGTCCATATCAAAGTTTAATTTCACTCTACGTTTCAAGGCTGTATATCAAATAGGAAAATATAAGATCGTTTCCTGGCCAATTTAGACCCAACTATAAATAATCATAATAACGATCTACCAAACAATGTTTTTTTCGTCAAAAAGCAAAGATCTAGCTTTCTGGATTTTGGAGAAAATTCTTTTTTTCGTTTTGTGCTACTGATAAAAGAATATTCATGACCCGCTAACCGGGACTTATTTTCTACCCTTGGGACATAATTTGAAAATCATTCTAAAGGTCAACATTATGTTGTGAAAAATTAATTTCAAATAGATCTTTCTTTGAAGTTTTAGAGAATACTTTTCCTATACGATTTTAATATACATATATATATGTACATATTGCAATCTTTGACACCGAGATTGTGCTAATCAAATGTCTATTATTTGAAGGAACTTTGTGAAGGTGCATTGTTTCATTGTCATTGTTCCATGTCAAAAATCTTACCTTAGGACTTTGTCATTACAGAAGAGAAGTGAAGTATTAATTACTATAATATAAAACAAAATCAATGTCCCTTGAAGCGGGGGCATAATTTGAACATTTTTGAAAAAGATTTCGTGTTTCGTGCCAAATACCATAGCT